AAAATTGGATACGTACTTCTCAATGTCAACATCATATTCTCTCGCCAAAGCCCAGTCCTGCCAGACTTTCAACCAAAATTTGGAGCTTTTGTTTGTATTTTCATTTAGTTCTTTTGTTCAAGCAAAATTTGGTGCTTTCATTCGTATTTTCATCTAGTCCCTCCACGGCAATTTCATTTTTAAAATACCTTTCCGCCATTTTGCTTTGAAATAATTGTACTCCTCTCAACCAATCAGCATCCAGTAATTTTGTCATGCATAGTAATTTTGTCAATAATAAATGAAATAATTGCGCACCCCTCTTAACCAATCAGATTGCAGCAATTTTGTCATGTATATAATAAGTGGACTAATAGACATTTTCCAAGGGGACATTGACTAATAACTTTGGATGAAAATTGAATGTGAAATTAGCAAAAGTTTGTCTTTCCTTGCCATGCAGAGTAAAACTGCGTGATCCATGTACGCAGTCTCAGTGTCCACTCCAGTTAATTAATATTGAAGGGTTTAGGAATATAATTGTTTTAAAAGCTTTCGCTGTAGATTTTTGAAAAGTCGTAACGGACTGGACATTATTTTACAGCTCTCTACAAAACGGCGTCTACCATCTACAATCAAAGGCTTCCACAGAAAAATATCCAGTCTATTGTCACATGACTGAGATTCCCGGATGTGGGACAGGAGGCTGGACACTAGTGATGAAAACTAACGGTGATTTGGTAAGACAAAAAGAAATTTTTAGTTTGCCGTTGTAGAAAAACGAGTGATCTATAGAAGTGACCTAACTCCCACGTCTTCAAAGGTCAGTTGTGTTTTGGATATATAAATGTTTTTAACATGGCAATGTTATTTGTGAAAAAGATATTTGACAACTCGAATTTGAGATGCTGCTGCTCCGAGTGTCTCCACAACGAGCAAGCTAAAAAATGTCTTGATCAAGGTGCTGTTGATCAAGATCTACTCGGATGTCTTTACTTAGATAATTAAAATCAGAAACTGGTTGATAGTCGAATCTCATGTTTCCCCATCCCGTCTTCACTCTTGGTAAACTTAACTTGTACTCTATTTCTTAATTAAACAGAGCACATTTACATATGATTCTCTTTACTGGACGAACAAAGAAACTTATGCAGTTGAAGATGGACTTGAAGGACTAACAGAGAAGGAAAGTAAACTGGCCTCTTATTGGAACACTCCTTTTAGGAAAATATGTCTTGGTATGACTGTTAATGTTGACAGAAAATGGACGATATTAGATTACGAAGCAAGTTCGCTGTACAGTGTGATCGCAGACGGACAATACCGAAGCACAACAGCAGGACGACCTGCATGGAAGTCTCTGATCGCGGGCTCGTCTTTACAATCAAACTGCAATGAAGAAGGTTTCAGCATTGCATATGATCCATTCAAAGTACGTATTGGATATTACGCAAATAACGAACACCGTTGCACATGGGCAGATTCATGTATTGGATTTGGTATTACTTACACTGCTTGTCACATGACATCTCACATTACATGTGGTAATATTGCGCAGTGTAGTGGTAATGATAATGGCCATAAACTGACTGCCGCATTTGGATATATTTTAGTTCAGTAAGTGAATACAGTGTATATATAAAGTGGATTTAGAACTAGTTGATGTTTTAAATAGCGCGTAAAGCTACCTAAAAACATAACTTGTTCGCATTGTGTAGAGGCACACACGCCAACCAAATTTGTTGACTGAAAGACAGCATTTTATCAAAAGAAAGAGGCATTTTATCAAAAGAACTTTATCATGCATGCTTAGGGGCGGACCATTAAAAAAGTGATTGGGGGGTGGGAGGACTTTTTAAACCTGTACGAATATTTTTTTTTAAATATTTTGCTTGTGTCGATAATTTTTTTAAATATCCCGTGCAGTCTTGCACAAATTTTTTTTTTATTTCAACTTATAATTTTCCCTATTGAAAAGTCTCGGCACGAATTTTTTTTTTCAAACTTTTTTGGAGCACGAATTTTTTTCTTTCCGTTTCCCCTGCTCGATTTTTATTTTTGTTCCCCCCCCCCGATCACTTTTCTAATGGTCCGCCCCTTAGACTTTACTGATACTTTAAACTGTAATGTTTATAAATATTGATAAACCAAAGACATAAAATTTGTGCGTCTATATGTACTTTCAACATCTTGTGAAGGTCTTCACCATATGTATTTTCAACATCTTATGAAGGTAGTCACCGCTACCGACCCTTCCTATTAACCGCGTGTTCAATTTCTAGTTGGAATAATGATACCATGTATTGCATGTCATGTACAAGTACTAGTGGTGCATGTTATAATAATAATCTATAATAATTTATTAATTTGTACCGCGCTAAAACTATAGAATATTCTGAAGCCCTTAATTACATAAAATAGGAAGCTAATTTAAAAATTTCCCTACGTTATTTACACAACATTTAAGTACTATAAGCATCTATTCAAAAATATTTAAAAACAAGAAGTATTATTGTATACGCATCTCTATACAAAAATGTCTTAACATTTGTCTTAAAAGAATCCAACGAAGGTGAAAGCCGAATTTCACACGGTACTGAGTTCCATAGAGTAGGTCCAGCTTTCAAAAAGGCACGATCACCAAAAGACTTTTTACGTGTGCTTGGAACATAAAGAAGCCCTAGTTTATCCGATCTCAAAGAGTAGTTATTACTTTGTTTATAAGTCAACATGTCACAAATATATTTGGGAGCCAGTCCATGCAGAGCTTTATAAACCAACAGTACGATCGTGAATATAACACGATATTTAACCGGTAACCAATGCAGTCTCATTAATGTAGGTGTAATGTGATCAAACTTAGGTACAAGACATTATGTCCGTGGTATTACGATCTCAGAATGTCTAGTAAACTCGGTTTATAAAATCAATCTTTTTTGGGAATTGTTCTTTTTTTGGTCATTGGCATTTTTTAAATTTATTTTTGTATTTCTTTTTTATTATTTTTTCTTTCTACGAATTTGCGCGCCCATATGTTTTCCGGAACCGAAATGACGCTAGAAACTGGACTAGAAGCGGGATCATATAAACACTAAATAGAGTGGGCGTCAAGACTCGCGTGTGTGTACTTCGCGATTCTCTCGCGAGACCAGTTCTGGGAACAAGCATGTCGTTTTAATAAGAAAAAACTAAATGTAAAGTCTACAGTGCTAGGAGGTTTTAATGTGGTTAAACGTAGATTTAAGCGAAGTTAATTAACGGCAGTTGTATCATGCCTGCGACCTTTGCAGCGGGGAGTCCCTGACGTCATATATGTGTATTCGTTTTGGGATCTATCAATCTATAGACTACTATAGAATGCGTCCTTTTTTCCACCGATTATCAGTGTGACAGGTGCTTATTATTACGTTTTCTGCTGTATTGCCATTTGGCAGTTTGTCATAAATGTTTGCCAGTGTTTTGCTTGATGTTTGCCATTGCGGCCATTTGCCTAATTGCCTTACAAGGCTAGATCGCTGACTAGCCTTGGCCACCGTGCCCCTACCTCCAAACTCAGCCGTTACCTGAACAGATGCATTACTTGGAAGCTTTGTAAATTTTAAGCCGGTTTCAAGAATACATATTTATGTTGATGGATTGACTGTGCCCTTCACATGCGTGAAAAGACTGGGACTTCGCTTTCAAGTTTGGGTTCAAATTTCCGTTTCAATGATCCCGCCTAACCAGGATCACAGGCTAGCAATCGCAAATCTACAAAACTGCGCATATATGAAATGACACCTACCTTTTTTGCAGAGCGTCTATCTTTTCGTCTTTTTCTCGATTTGTTGTTTTTGTTCTTGCCAACACCAACTCAACTTCTCGAACCCTGAACAGAAGAGATACTTTGACTCTTTTTATTCACAGTCTATCAGTTTATTCTTAACTTTTCTCATTGGAGGTATTCAGTGCAATGACCGCCAACCTCAAACGTTTATCGTGAAGCTTTACTGGACGGCATAACAAATTGCGTACAACTACTAGGAACATTTGCTTGTTTACAAGAGAATGGCAACAAAAAATTTTATCGTCTCAATAGAAAGAACGTCTAAAATTATCCACAACATTTTGTTACAAATTTTTCGTATCAAGTTTAACTCTTGAAATATTTTGACTGGAAGCAGTGAGCAGTCCGCCATCTTGGATTAATTCTTAACCTCATTAACTGTCGTTTTGATGATGTCAGGAGTGGGGTTAGCTTTATAAAATCACTTCTCTAAGTTACAGAGTAATGATCAAAAGTTGTTTAAAATGTTTTTATTCACTTCGAAATTCGAAACAGCAGCCAAAATCTGGTTTCGGGCTCATATTGATCGTTGGCTGTCAAGATACAAAACTTGCGTGACGCCACGCAACATGCATATCCTCAATAATCCAAGATGACGAACAGTTCATTGCTTTCAGTCAAAGCAAGACATGAAACATCTGTAACAAGATTATAGAGATAATTTTAAACGTTCTTTCAAATGAGACAATAACATTTTTTGTTGCCATTATCCTTTAAAGGGGCCCTACAGTAATTTTTTAGTCGAAAAGCCACCTTAAGTAGGGGACTCCACGGAGATTCGTTTGACTGTATCTTACATGCAGTATCCATGAGTATCAGTACTTCCGCACACCAGAGAACGCATGCATGCCGTGATGCGCATGTCAAGTAGCGACAATAACAAAAAATGTAAACACTACTTAAGGTGGCTTTTCGACCAAAAAATTACTGTTGGGCCCCTTTAAAGGAAAATGGCAATTCTCCCCAAACGATCTTAGTTTTTGAGATATTTGAAACCAAAACATCCTGCCACCCGCCATCTTGTTTTGTTATTAGATCTAATTAAATGACGTCACAACCAGGGTAGACATTTTAAAAATAAAAAATATTATCTGTGGGAAGCTTATACATAGCTTGTGCTTTAAATTTAAAATAGTCAACAGTGAAAAAATAGGATTTTGCATTGAAATGGCCCGAGAATTGCTAAAGATACAAAATAACGTTGCCCTGGTTGTGACGTCACGCATATCCGACGATGGATATGCATATCCGAGATGGCGGAATGCATAACGATTTGGTCTAAAATGAGGTGTAAAATCTTTTATAGCAAAAAAGATACAGAAAATCTGTAGAAAGATTTTGAAATATATTGAATCCCTCTTCCAAATGGGAGAAACGTAATTTTTATTGCTATTAGAGAGGTTAAGATACCCCGGTTCCGATTTACGGGTACGAGTATCGCCATTTTGTTTAGCAATTTTTGCTGATGTCAGCATTTCTACCCGTAACTTCTACCCGCTTCTCCGCGGTAAACCAAGGTCTACACGTAAAAGACAAACGGGTACGGGTGTTTTCTGTTTACTATATGTGGGCCATTTAAATAGTAAAAATTTTCAACATCTTATCCAAATAAATATGCTCGTCAAAGTTTTCAACAATTTATGGCGAACCTCAATAGCGAAAGTTACCATTTTCTGATCGGTTTTCACACGCCGGAATATCTTGGATTACTTAAGTTACAAGTCGTTCCCCGATTTACGGGTACGGGTACGTCACCGTACGTGTATATCACCCGTACCCGTAAATCGGAACCGGGGTATGTTAACCTCTCTAATTACCTTTAAAAAATACATTTAATTCAGACATACCTGTCTTCATATCGTTTTATTGTCTCGTCTTTTTTCTTAATCAGCTCATTCGACTTCTTCGTTTCGCCCGTGGATTCCTCGAGTTCTAAGATTCTGAATAAACACACAGTTAACGTGAGCGATTTGCCATTATTGAAATCCTATGAAAGGGGATTGGGTGGCGCAATCGTCAGAGCAAGAGCTTTCCACCTCTGAAATCGAGGGTTCGATTCTCGCTGCGGACTCATAACACTCATGAAAAGAGCCTGTCAACGCTCTACCGAAAGTCGTGGGTTTTCTCCGGGCACTCTGGTTTCCTCTCACAGAGAATGTGGACAGGGTGGATTGGGATTAGCTAGGTGGTACAGTACAGTATACATTACAAAATAAGTGAAACTCCAAAAATCGACAACATGTTTATTTATCTACGTTTCGACTATATCTCGGTCATCATCAGGATAAACTAGCTACATGTAGGTTATATATCACAAGCAGTATTTATATGAAGAAATATGATACAATTATTAGGTTGATTATTAATGAATTAATTAAATATGATTAGTTCTTTAAAAGCTTTAAGTCAACTTAATAATTCATCATATTTAATCATGGACTTAAAGCTTCTAAAGAACTAATCATATTTAATTAATTCATTATAATCAACCTAATAATTGTATCATATTTCTTCATATAAATACCGCTTTTGATATATAACCTGGCTAGTTTATCCTGATGATGACTGAAATATAGTCGAAACGTAGATAAATAAAAATGTTATAGATTTTTGGAGTTTCACTTGTTTTGTATATTTTATTAAAATACTCAGTGGTTCTAGAAATGTTACAGTATACATTAGCCATTATGTTGGGATAAGCCCCAAACTGGCCCCGACACCATACAGTAGCTTGCCCGTGATCATACATGAGTCGTAACGTGGTTGCCAGAGGCGCCAATAGAAAACCTGCGACT